TTAATATAAACACTAATATAACAATGTAATATATTTAATAATGGAAAAGAGGAAAAAGATAGGAAAAACAATAGGATAGAATATCAGATATGTGTATCACCGGTAAAGAGAAAAACAACAACTGAACAGAGAAAAAACATATCTCTGGATAAACAGTGGAAAGTCCAATGGAAATACATATATGGACCATAGAAAAGAAGGAGGAAAATCACCATATAACAACTGGACAGTTAGCGGTAATAGAGAGACCTCTATTGACGCTAACACCTTCCCCCTTCGGCTGAGTGAGGTGCCCACGGCGCCTGCCCACACAGAAGCGTAGGCTGGCAGCACGATCACTACAGCCTTGAGGGTTTAGGGTAACATCTCAAAGAACATGAACAAAAAACAAACGAAGAGAAAACAAATAGAACAATGACATAGAAACAAAATAGATGAACAAAATGCAAAGAAAAAGGAAGTAGTATAATAGGGAAAAGGTAATGAGGATTAATGTTCAATATGGGAATACTGATGAAAATGTTCTTCGTTAAATATATCAGTAGGTAATTGTTCATCAGCATGATCACGATCTTTGGGATTGTTAAATTGGATTTTGATAACATGTTTGTGGATTTCTGGTAAACGTGCGTATGTGATGTTGTATTGTTTAAGTAAGTGTTTAACATGTTTGGGTTTCCAATGAATATCGATCGGACGACTGATGGTGAATTGATGTTGTTTGTGTTTGAGTTTAGCATGACGTTTCTGATTACGACGTGTAGTAGCTGCAGTTGACCGAAGATGAGTACGTTGAGTAGGGGGTGGTCGTTGCGATAATTGTTGAAAATGTTCAAGTATACGATTATATGTAATATGTCGGTGATTAAAATGGAGATGCATCTGATCGGAAGTAAGATGTGCTTCAGCGACTTGAAAGTCGAGAACAGTATAACGAAGATTTGTTGATAAGATTTGAAGTTGTTCATTATATAGATCAATGTTGGCTGATAGTGTCAATGTGGATGGAAAATAGGGGTAATATTTGAGACATGGAAATGTAGCAACAATTGCAATGGCTTCTTTACGGTGCAAATTGGGATAATGTTGATGAAGATAATTGATTGTGTGTGCTACTTCTTGAAGTACTTGAGATGCATCAAATTGACGTAAAGAATTTGTACCAATTAACAATATTATTCCTGATGCAGTTGATAAATGTGATGACATTGTCGTTGATTGTAATAAGGAATAAGCACACAAATGAGGATCATTTGTATCGCACCATTTTAAACCGGAAATGGCAATGATAGTGATGGTACCAAATTCAGTATTAATAGGTGAATCGATATGTCGTGCATGACTATCTGATAAGACGAAATAAGACGGCAATGGAGGTGGTTGATCTTCGATAGTCGAGGTGGATGTGACTGTATTGGAAGATAGATAAGGAATAATAAGTTCATGTTTCAAATGAAAAAGTAATTTAGTTGGTGCAAGAATATCATTAATGGCATATGATGTAAGAGCTGCACGAGTATTGATGTCTGCAGTCGTATGAGCAGAGTGTAGAAGAGGATCAAGTCCACAACTCCATGTATTAAAGGTTAAAGCCTTGTCAAGTGCTTCATCAAACGTATACTGAATAGCTTTTTGAAGGCTCCATTGGTCATTAGCATTTTTGTATGGATGGATTGTGTCGGGACAGGTACAGCGAATGTGAACCTGGGGAACTTTATCCGGAAATAAATCTTCGTCTAAATCATCGGTATCAATGTGGCATATTAAATCAATATGTGGATCGAGATCGGGACGACTTTGACGTTGTTGAGTATGACATGATGATATGTGTGGGTGAGTGTTATTCCATTCGTTGGTGAAGTATCGCTGGAGGTTGAGTGGATGACGAATTTGTGATAAATCAAATAGGGCAAATTGTTGAAAGGATAATAATTCTTGACTGATCTCGCCCCATGAAACAATATGATGTTGTGGGGAGAAAATATGATAGCAAAGACGTTGAATGAGGGAGAAGGTGTATGTTGATGAATGTGGCAAAAATTGAAGTTCGATCAAAAGAATGGTGGTTTGATCTTGATTATGGATGGCTTGAATTTGAAGAGTAGCAGGTAATGGTTCAGAACGAAATGGAGTTGGAGGATCTGATTCAGTATCAATTACATAAATATTAACATCTTGAATGCTGTTGATGATAGATTCAAGTGTTGAGTTTGGAGTTAAATGATGAATGAAAACGGGATTAATAGAATGATGAACAGGGTAATGAAAAGGAGTTAATTGTTGAACTAGTTGTAAGTTCTTTCTAGCTTTTTGACCAGCTTTAAGGTATCGGGTACGTTTAGAACCTGTAAGATGTTTTGGACAATTTTCTTCGGTTCGATCAAGAAGGTGTTGGTGAGGATTGACGTTGGGTTGACGTGATGAATGTGGTTGTGCGGTAGAAGAACGACGGGAGTAGTCGATCGATGGACTGCTGCCATCCGAGTCACTCGGAGGCTGCATGATCGGTAGTAAGTATGAAGTAAATAACGGTGATGGTATAGTAATCACAAAGAACTATCAAAGGAAAGAAGAGAAAAACAAAGGAAGAAAATGATACTGACTTGTAGTAAATGACGAAGATAATGTATGATGAAGACGGGAATATAAGGAAGGTCGTTGACGATGTAAATGAGTGACTTGGTAGATAACTGCCAATGAAATATATGTGTATATAGGTAAGGACATGATTAATGGCTACGCAGTATGGGGCCAGTGTCGATTTAACTGTCTTAGTAGTCTGATCAATCCAGAATAACTCTCACTACAGATTAATCATGAAGACAGAAATGAAGAAGGAGGGATGAAGTTAAGTTGGCTGAGGGATTTGATGAAGAATAATATCAAGTAATAAGATATTATATGGTTTGGATAAGTGTGTGGATGAAAATATGGTGGAATGAGTTAATCAATATAAATGGGTCGTAAATCCGCAACATGAATCTGGGATTGTGTTCCAGTTTGAGTATCTTTAACTATATAAGTAGGATGATTGGTAGAAATAATAATTTTTGGTATGGGAGAAAATTTGGGATCTAATTTCCCTCTAACACCGTAAATACGTGTTAAAACTTTATCACCAATATTGTAATGTGGATCAGGACGATTTTGATCATATCGATTTTTGTTGATTTGTTGTTGGCGTATAATATTATATTTTGCTGCTCGATGATAAATACGTAATGTTTTTTGTAATTGGGGAAAATAATCGTTGGGTTTGTGAAATGAAAAATGTGATGGTCGTGTATGAATAGGAAGACGAGGTGGACGACCATAAACGAGTTCGTATGGGGAATATTTGGTAGTTTTATGTACACCAGAATTATAGGCAAATACAACAGCTTGCAAATATTCATCCCAATTGTTGTCTTCAGTATCTTGAAGTTTTGAGATTTGTGGAATAAAAGTGCTGTTGAAACGTTCGACGATGCCATTTGTTTGAGGATGATATGGTGTACTGTATATGTGATTGTATCCGATTAAATTTTGAATATTTTGCATCAGTTGATTTTGAAAGTGGGTTCCTTGATCACTGATAATAGTACTTGGTATACCATACTTGCAAAAATATTCATTAAATAAAGCTTGAGCGGTCGTTTCTGCTGTGCAGTTCGGTAAGGCGATGGCGGTAATATGTCGGGTGAAGTAGTCAGTTATCACAAGGACGTACTGATTTTCACGCGGTGTTGGTTTAAGTGGACCGCAATAATCGATACCGATTAGTAGAAATGGACCATCAGGTGGTGGAATCGGATGAAGTTGACCATGTCGTTTCTGGCAACTAATATTATATTGTTGACATGAAAGACAGGATTTAATATGTTGTAAAATTGATAATTTCATGTTTGGCCACCAATAAAGATTTTTAATTTTGTGGTATGTTCGATCAAGTGAGAAATGTCCTCCAGTCATAGGATCATTATGACAAGCATATAGAAGTGACTTGATCATAGAGGATGGGAGATAAATAACATCACGTTTAAGTTTAGAATGCGGAGAAATTGTAATTATTTTACGAAGAAGATGATCTTTGAAAATAAATGGTAAGTTATTCGGTTTTTGTTGAAGTCGACGAATAATATTTTGTACGTTGGGATCACGAGCTTGTTCTTGTTGCAATTTATTTGTATCAAAGTAATTTGAAGAAAATTTATGTGGTAGGGATTTAGTATTTGATACATTAGTATCTGTAACGAGAGTAGTATCCAGATCAGTAGGGACGAAAGCATCAACCTTCGCTGTAGCTTTCACTGATTCTGTTTTATTTTTTCGTGGACGTAATAACATTGCATTTAAAAGGTTTTGATTGGTAGACGGAGAATCCACTATCGCGGATTTACTTCCAATACCGTAATCAATATCAAATAAATCATCGTCTTAGTCGCGAGGATATCGAGATAAATAATCAGGTAAACAATTGTCACGACCATTTATATGAATAATTTTTTCAATCTTATATTCTTTGATTAATTGAGA